TCCCCCCCACTAGCCTGTAAAAAAAAAAAAAAAACCTAAACTATTTGAAGGTCATAGAAGTGAAGACAATTCATGAGGTGGTCACATACATCATTGCAGTTGAACTCACAGTGACTGCCCAATTTTTTTTATTTTTTTAAAATTTGGTGTTATTTCTCTAATGCAAAACATTCTTCTAATTGATGTTTCTTAACAACCAATTCTTAGTATCTACTTCTGAAATGTCTGAGCTCAATAAAATAGTTGGATATAGAGTATAAAATTTTCCACATCCACATTAGTTTCTAATGGAATTTGGAAAACCAAGTGCCCTGCTTCCCAAGAAAATGAGTGAGATGGGGATTACCAATATAGAAGGCTGCATTGTCCTCATTGGCAAAATCATCAAGGTAGGTGATGCCCAGAGGCTGAATGGGAGTTTCTCCTATTCCACGAAGAAGATTCCCCAGAAAAACATAAACCCACATGGAGGAGCTGGCATCAATTTCACATTCTTAAAAGGAAAGAAAACAAGAGGATTGAAATTAGACAAATATCAAAGTTAAAGATTTATTCTACATGTCTACAATTTGCCTTAAAATAGATTAGAAGCAGAAGTGAAATTTGCAATAGACATAATTTAATATAATACACATTTGGCAATATTAGAAAATGTTTTGTAAGTTCAAAAGTTAGACAGCGTTAATCCCCAGGGACTTTGACCAAGGAACTCTATTGTTTCCTCTTCCTGTTCCTTTTACTGCTTATTTTCTCTCTTTTTATTTTGTTCTTACACTGAGCTCTTTGAATTCCTACACTCTAACAACTTTCAGTATCTTGTCTGGGACAAAATACATTTTGAACAAAGGTTTTTCTTATCTTACATTTTAAACTTTTCCATTTCTTAGAAAAATTCACATGCAATTATATTATTAATGGAGTTTCATCTGAAATTCAAAATTTTATGTGATCAGTACTCCATCATTGGACAGTACTGTTTACAATTACATCTGTTTAATAGTGAGTAACCATATTTTTGGACTACAGAAAGAAATTCATGTAAAAATTATAAACTCTATATGGTTTAGTGGGGAGTCCTAGTAGTGCAATGGTTAAGTACTCAGGTATTAATCAAAAGGTTGGGGATTCTAACCTGCCAGTGGCTCTGTGAGGGCAAAGAATTCATGGGCTGCTTCTGTAAAGATTACAGCTTCTGGGCAATTCTACTTTGTCATAAAGTATTGCTTATGAATTGGAATCCACTCAATTATACCCTACAACTAATGCTTAGGAGTATAGCTATTTTGGTAAAAAGAACATTTTGACAGTATTTTTAGAGTAGAATTGAAAGGTAACAACTTTAAAATGTTTTCATAAAAGTCATATATTAATATGATTATGTGAAGTAGGATAATTATAACCCATATCCTAAATGAAATATAGCTTTAAACAGTTTAGCTACTTAATGATACTGATAATATTAAGGACCTCTAACAATCACCACTTAATACATTTTCTGAGCCTGGCTGTTATGCATTGTGTTATAAATCCTAATTTTATATCTGTAGATGTAATCTTATTTGGGAATAGGGTTTTCTTTGTTATGCTAATGAGACCGTGATCAGTGTGGCATGTCTTTTAAACTGATTACTTTTAAAATATGAAAGAGCAGATTAGGCACAGAAGAAGATAGACACAGGGGAAGATCCACATTTTCTGAAGACAAAGGAGGCAGATCAGCCTACAATGCCTCCCCCCACCAAAAAAAAAAAAAAAAGAAAGAAAGAAAAAACTCACTGTCATGGAGTCAATTCAACTCATAGTGACCCCTCCTTGGGTTTCCGAGGCGGTATCTCTACAGAAGTAGATTACTCAATCTTCCTTCCAAGGAGTGGCTGGGGGGTTTGAACTGCCAACCTTCTGGTTAGCAGTCAAATGCCTTAGGCACTATGCCACCAGAGCGCCACTACAAACCCAGGAACTCCAAAGATTGCTAACTAGACAAGCTGAGACAAGGATTTTCCCCCAGAGTGGACAGAGAGACAGCCTTCCCTAGTGTTGGTGGCCCTGAATTCAGTCATCTAGCTTCCTATACTGTGAGAAAATAAATTTGCTTGTTAAAGCCACTACCTGTGGTATTGCTATTATAGCAGCATTAAGAAATTAAGAGACAGGCACTGGAATAAATGGTTTAAAGATGTTATAAAATTGAATCCTCCTAAGAAACATATAAAGAGCTCTGGTAGTACTGTGATTAAAGCATTGGACTGCTAACCAGAAGGTTAGAAGTTCTAACCTACCAGCTGCTCCAAAGGAAAAAGATGAGACAGTCTGCTTCCACAAAGATTTAGAGTCTTAGAAACCTATGTGTCAGTTCTATTCTGTCTTATAGGGTCACTATGAGTCGGAATCAATTCAATGGCAGTAGATTAAGTTTGGTTTAACAAATCTGTGAGGTAGAATCATTTCTACATTTAATTTTTAAAATAATTTATGAAGATACAGTATGGGTTATTTGAAGAACTGAGGTGGACATTTTGGGGCAGATGAATCAAACTATACAATGGAAAAGACTACTGAATAGTCATCTTAATTCTAGTTCTGACTCTGCTCCCTTTTAGAAATGTGACCAACTGACCATGGCTTTGTCACTTATTTTCTCTGGATTTCTATTCATCTCCTAAAAAGTATGATGCCAGTTCCTTTTCTAAAAATTGACTCTAGTGTCAATACCAACCTTAATATTTTGTGATTCTAAGACTCTTATTGATAGGTGAGTCTTGTGGTAGATAAAGGTAGACACTTTGGATCTGTAATGTCTAATATGGTAATTACTTAATTAAAATTGAGTAAAATAAAAAAATCAGTTCCTCAGTGACACAAACCCCATTCCAAGCACTCAATAGGCCCATACAGCTAGTGGCTACTGCATTGAACAGTATAGATACAGAACAGTTCCATCAACACAGACATTTCTACTGAACAGCTCAGTTCTAGCAAGTAGGGAAGATCAGGATTGTGAAGGGAGCATTTTTGAGAAGAGTTCTTTATTTCTTCCACCATCATCTTTAGGATGAGTCCTGTGTCCATTTACCACAAGGGGAAGAACTTTAAAAGAGTGGTATCTAATCTAAAGGAAAGATAAGAATTTGCATGTTGTGTTGTTGGGTTGGGTTGGAGTTGAGATATACAAACTGACAGGGGCCTGATAACACCAAGATTCACCTTACTGGTCCACTTGCTATTAGATAAATGCCTTAGCATGTAAGAAATCCCTGGCAAAAGGATGGAGGCTAGGGTCAAATTGACTGAGATTACATTTTTACCGTTCTGATGGAAAGAGGCTCAATAGAGAAATTACTTGAATTACAGAGAAAAATTATATTTCTTTCATGTCTGAGTAATGGGCTAAGTAAAATTTGTATTAGCTACACTAGACTTTTAGATCCACCTTATTTGGAAACTTTGCAAGCCTTTCTCAAAGTTATTAACAATTAATTCTCTTTTTTTCTATAAAATTTGATTGTTTAATGTTGTTAGAATCTTATCATATACTACTCTATATGCTAGGACTTTTTAAGGTAGATACTTAGGCCTTTGAGAATAAAATTCATACAAATATTTGTCTCAGAAAGTCTTTTTTAAAAAAGTATTACTTAGTCAAATAAAGTTTTAAAAAATCATCTTACCATTATTTATTTTAGATCGTGATTTTTCCATGACTGAAATTGGTAATTCACTATCTGTCTCCAAGACACATGGAGAGATGCTGAGAGTGGAATTGGAGAAAGAAGAATATTTCTCATAGCTGTACCTATATTAAAAAAAAAAAAAAAAGTCTGCTTTATGTACAGATCTATTGATGTCATTCTAAAAAAAAGTACATGGAGGCTACATGACTCACTATGGTGTCAGTATGAGTTTGCAGCTATCCCTCTAACACAAAACCAAACCAGTATTTAACAGCAGAGTTTGCTTGAAGAGATAGCCAGATGATCCAGTTCATAAAGCAGCAGCAGCCAAGGTTTACAGAACACCTGGGCCAGTCAATTACCCAGTGTAACGAATAATAATAAAAGTTATTCATAGAGACTCATTTTAACAGGAGATAATGATATAAATCTACTCCTTTGGTGAAAAAGTATCCAACACTTGCTAAAGCATGATTATCTTTGAGTCAGAGAAAAATGAATAATTTAATAACTCATGACCAATTGCACATTGTATTTAGAGTTGTAAATTTCGTAAAACAACTGCAAAGCTAATACATGTTTGGGCTTTTGAACAATTTACCTAGAGTGTATCTTTCTTTTTCTTTGGAGATAGATAGCTGCCATCAAGTCAACTCTGACTCAAGTATTACCCTATATATAACATGTATATATAAGATATATATGTATAAGGTATATGTATAACATATATGACCTTATGTATAACACAACATAATTCTCTACAGTTCATGAATCTAGCTCCAAGTTATTATTTCTAATTCCATCCTTTCCTTTGTTTTCAAGCTTATTATGGCAGTTGGGCTGAAGAGCCAATGCTTAATGGTTGGACTTTGGTAATTCTAACTACAGTCACCCAGTTCCACACTTCCATTCCAGTTATCCTTCATGACCTCAGTCATCTGCTCTATTAGCATCTTCTAAGGAAGAAATACCTGATAAGAAGACATCACAACATCATCTTGACTCTCATCATGTTCAGACACTATATGACTATATGTAACTAAAGACTAGTACTCATTATAATGTATTTGCAATATTAATAGTATAAATCTATTCAGCATGGTAGAATGTATTGAGTTATTCTGAAACTTAAGTTGATTAATAACTCACTGCCCTACAGTCGATTCAACTCATAGCGACCCCTCCTTGGGTTTCCGAGGCAGTATCACTACGGAAGCAGATTGCCCAATCTTCCTTCCCAGGAGTGGCTGGTGGGTTTTAACCGTCAGCCTTCTGGTTAGCAGTCAAATGCCTTAGGCACAATGCTACCAGAGCTCCCTAAGTTGATAAATATGTTACCTTATAACAATGCTGCTTAACCAAGGCTTCAGAGTCCATGAACCCCATTGAAAAGCAGAAGTAAGAACATTTTTGTATGTATGTATGTTTGTATAAGGAACTCTGGTAGTGTAGTGCTTAAGGCACTTGACTGCTAACCAGAAGGCTCGTCGTTCAAACCCACCAGCCACTCCTCAGAAGGAAGATGGGGCATCTACTTCTGTAGTGATACTGCCTTGGAATCCCAAGGAGGGGTTGCTATGAGTCGGGTCAACTTGACAGCAATAATAACAACAACAACAACATGTTTGTATAAGAATGCTTAGGGAAAGAGATTCACAGATTTTATTATGGTATCACATAATTCCCTGAGCAAAATAGGTTAAGAACCACTTAATGATAACTGTTTTTCAAACTCTTAGCTACACAGAGAAGATTTACCATTGAAATTATGGTAAATACGATTTTCTTTCTTTACAAAAATAGCATGAACTCAATAATAGTTCCTCAGAGTTATTGGTGAATCAATTGTCATTATATGTAGTTTTATTTATTTATTTTTAACTCCCATACCTTCTAGTAACCACTAACATTCTTTTATCTAGATGGATTTACCTATTGTTCATATTTCATATAAGTGGGATCATACAATATTTGATTATGAAATAGTTTGAAACATTTTAGTTATTTAAGCTTTCTCAATTCAATCTATCAAAAGGTAATTGTTGTAAACATGACTCAGATTTTGAATAAATGAAGTTTTATACAAATGCCACCTTTGTCACTAATTACTAACTGTGATATTCTACAAAAAAGAATTTAAGCTCTTTAGGTTTAAATTTTGTTAGTTGTGAAATGAGAACTACAAATGTCATCTGTGTCTATTAAACTCCATGGATAAGAGACAAAGAAGTGATGAAATGAGGGACCAGTATAAGAAAGCTTCTAAGTTAGGAGTTTTAGGTCTGACTTGTATTCAAATCCTGTTTCTGACATAATCTTGACTCTGATACATAAAATTCTACAGAAACCTCCTAATTGTTCTCCCTGATCCCAAGCTTGCCCCACCAGAGTTAATTTTTTAAGTAGTAGTCAGCATGATCCTTTAAAACTGTAAGTCAGATTATATTATTCTGCTTAAAACCTTCCACTGGTTTCCTGCCTCATTCAGAGGAGAAGATAAAGTCCTTGCAAATGTTTGCAACCTTTTTCTTCAAAGGGTGGTCTACAGATCACCACCATCACCACCACCACACCACCATCACCACCACTACCACCACCACCATCAGCAGCAGCAGCAGAAACTCAGCCCCAGCTTCCAGAGCTACTGAGTCAGAATCTGTAGCTCATCAAGATCCCCAGTAATTCAAATAAATATCCATCGAAGTTTGAGAAGCAAGCTTGACATCTTCTCCTCCTGACATTTTACTTCTCAGATTTCATTTTTTTCTGTTTTCCCCTTGCTCATTGCACTCCTGCCACACAGACCTCACTGCTGTTGTCTGCACACCAGGCTGCCTTCTGCCACAATGAACTTTGTGTTCACTGTTCATTTAGCCTACATATCTTCTTCCCCGATACCTGCATGGATCTGCCCCTCATTTCCTTCAGGTCTTTTTCCATTTGCACCATGTCACTGAGGCTTGCCTTGAATATTCTTTAAAGTGCAACACCCTACACACTTATTATGCATCTTCACTGGTTTATTTTTCTTTAAAGTACTTATCATCTGGCACACCATATAATTTTTTGCTTGTTGTCTGTCTCCATGTCATGATATCCATCAGGACAGATATTTTTGTTCATTTTGGACACTACCCTATCTCCCATGCTTGGAACAATGATCAGTGGTTACTTGTTAAATAATTGAACTGGATGAGATAATGCATATAAAACTGAATATAGCCTGTTAGGGGTAGACCTCTGTTCATTAATTAACCAAAGAAAAACCCCAAAAAACTCATTGCCATAGAGTCAAATCTGACTCATAGCAACCCCTCCTTGGGTTTCTGAGATAGTATCTCTAGGGAAGTAGATCACCTAATCTTCCTTCCCAGGGAGGGGCTAGTGGGTTTGAACTGCCAGCCATCCGGTTAGCAGTCAAATGCCTTAGGCACTATGCCACCAGAGCTCCCTATTCATTAATTGTTGTTGTTGTTGTTGTTGTTATGTGCTGAATCAGACCGGACTCACAGCGATCCCTCCTTGGGTTTCCGAGGAAGTATCACTACGGAAGTAGATTGCCCCATCTTCCTTGCGAGGAGTGGCTGGTGGGTTTGCATTGCCAGCCTTCTGGTTAGCAGTCAAGTGCTTTAGGCACTATGCTAACAGAGCTCCTGTTCATTAATTAGGATACCCATAATTAATATTAGGTTCTGTGGAACATGAAATGTGTTTCTAGGGAGGTAGTGTACAATAGTTTTTTTAGGGAATGAGAATTTCATTTTGGGAAAGTACCCAATAAATGACTAATACTGGGAAAGGTTAAAAAGAAGTTGTAATATTCCTCAGTTGTTTTATAGTAAAGAATTTGTGTGCATGTCTTCACTGAAGTAGCCCCATTACCTGGCACAGTATCAGGTGAGCAGTAGACCCTAAATAAGTGGATGTATAAATACATCCTCAACATATAAAACATGGTATATAAGAATATGAATCTTTGTCCCTTTGACATCCTTTCTTAGTCTGACTTGCTGTTGTTCTTCTCCTGGTAACATTTCTATTTTTGATTTTCTTCTACTAGTATTTTACATTTATCATTAACTTGAAGTAATAGAGCTTTTCATCTGAATATAACACTTTAAAAATATTTATAAAATAAGTAACAGTTATTTAATAAAAATATCAGTTATATAACTTTTAAAAATACTCCCTTGCTTCAGAATCTTTTGTTAGTCACTTCTCTCAGTGACCACAGAAAAGGAAGGTAGTATTGACGTCCGTGAATATAATATTGCTTAGAAGACCTGTTTGGAGATTCAGGCACCACATTTATAAGACACGTAACACTGAGGAAGTCACAAAATTCTCCAAGTCATGATCCTTAGCTCTAAAATCAAAATGATAAACAGTTCTCCTACCCCATTGGCTGTTGTAAGGACCAAATGATATAACAAAGGTGAAAATACTTGGAACTGCTAACATTTTCTGCAAGTAAAACATTAAAAAAAGTATCAAAAGTATACTTTAGAGAAAGAGGGTACAGATAACCCTGTAACTCTATTGAGAATTGTCCATGAGATAGTGTTTGGAAACTTTGATAATATATCCCCTGAGCCAATTATGCCCAAAAAGTGTATCATGATCCATCATTTGCTATCCACCATTTATTGTTCACCCATTTGACACTCATTTGACATTTAGCATATCATTTAATTTCTTTTTATTTATACATTTTGCCTCATGGCTCAATCTAAGCAGTTGAATCAAAATGATTAACACAATTTTTTAAAAAAATCTTGTTGAAAGCAGCACAATTCTTACCACATAGTTGTATATCAATAAATATCTTACGAATTATAAAGACAAAATAAAATTCTGAAATTTTGAACAAAGAGGATGTAAAAAATATAAGACATAAAATTGTGGACCTAAGCCTTGTGTTATTTTCTTAAACTGCAATAATTAAGTATAATCATCACAAGGGAGTAATGCAGTTTTTGGCTAAGGAAAGAGAAAGGCAATTGGTTCATACTTACTGCTCCATGAAGAACTGAGGCATTGCAATGAGCAATGTCCCCACTCCCATGATTAGGCACCCTGCTCCAATTATTTTTGGCCTGTGAAGTTTGGCTCCAAAGTAGCTAACAAATGTTATAACTAAGAGATTCCCTTTGGAGGAAAGAACAAATCTTCTGTAAGTAAGAGAACTTAGAAAAAGTCATCAGCATAATTATAAAATGCAATGGATATGACTAAATGAATGAATGTCTACAGCAGGTAGGAGGTCTAGCAGTGTTTTGTTTTGACTAAACCATACCCTCCCATCTTTCCTATCATTTTCCTCTCCTTTCTTTAATGTGAGAGGCCTCTGTCATTATTTCTATTACTTTACCACTTCGTCAAAATATTTTAATTACCAATCCTCCTACCTCCTTCCCATGCACCCTAATTTTTGTCCTTTTTAAGTGCTCTAGCAAATAATCAAAAAATGTTATGGTTTATTCATTTATTAAAGTTTCCTATTGAAATTTTCATTAAATTGCTCTAATTGCTCTTAAAATATACATTGGATATTCAACCTTTAGTGGATATTCCTTACAGAGAACATAAACCAACTATATCTGTGCTCACTTTAAATGCAATCAAATTAAGAAACTCATATTAGCAGAAATTCTTGGTTCATTTGTTTTTACAAAATGACTCAAAATAAAAACCAAAATTACTCCATGTAGATAACTTCAAAAATACATCAATTTTATAACATCAGTGTATATAAATAAGTTGAAACACGAAATCTCCATAAAATATATTCATCTGTGTCTCTTGAAAAGTAATTAGAGTATATTTTTTGAAGGTGGACATTAAACCTTCCTAAAATGTCTCTAGTGAAGCATATGATAAATTATTTTTTTGTTGTTGATGGAAATGACTGATTAAACATGATTTAAGACAGACATTCTCACACTTTGATCTACATAAAAATTACTGGGAGGGGGTAGTGGGGGAAATAGCAACTTGTTAAAAATGCAGATTCTTGGCAACTTCCAACAGTTTCTGATTCCATGGATCTGGGTCCAGACCAAAAAATCGGTATTGTTAATACTAGCTCAAGTGTGTTGATAGTTCCTGGAACGTGCTCTGATAATCATTTTTTAGGGTTTAGATTTCAAAGTTTTATCCATTTTCATTTCTGATCCATAGTTATTAAGAATTGGAGCATTAGAGTAAGATTTTAGCAATTCTTTAGTAATGATGATGGCTGAGGGGTGGCTTTGCATTGAGGTTCTCTATGTTTCCAATTTTCTAGCTAGAGTGTGTTTCCTTACATCTGTAAGCAATCATTTAATTTACTACTGTTTAGTCAAATTGCCAGCTTATAGTAAATTGCAGAAAGAGCAGTGATTTTTATAGCCTTGAGGGCAGTCATAATGACAGGGAGAAAAGAGGCTTGCACAGTGGCTCAAGACTTTATGACTCTAGGAAGTATTGAGTTCTTCTCTATTTCTATATTTTAAAAAAATTAAATCTGAGATTTCCCATTTGACATTTAAGTAATTAGTAGAAAATATTTTATATTAAATTATATTGATAATTATCTCTAGAGATTTGTTAATAGGTCATAATAAAAACAAAATAACATGAAAACTTGTGATTTATATGCAATGTTCCCCTACCCTCCCATGTACAATGGACTCATGTTCAAAAGGCTGTGTTAAATTAATGGGTATACTAAACACTAGATGATATCATTTCAGCAGCTGTGGTATCTAGAGAACAGTTTTGCTTCCTTTACTTAGAATCCTTTCAGTTCTTAGGAGACAGATACACTTGGAAAAGAAAAACAAAACAAACAAAAAGAACCCAAACCCACTGCCATAGACTAGATTCTGACTCATAATGACCCCTTAGGACAGAATAGAGCTGCCCCATAGAGTTTCCAAGGCTGTAAATCTTTATAGAAGCAGACTGCCTCATCTTTCTCTTACAGAGCAGCTGGTAGGTTTGAACTACTAGCCTCTTGGTTAGCAACCCAATGCTTTAACCACTGCTTTAACCACAAGACCTCCTTTGGAAAATGAAGAGTGGTGAATAATCTTTTAAAAGTCTACTTTGGATATCAAAATTCTCCCTTACCTACTGTCACTAGCCTCTGAAAAATGTTTGGAGAATTTTCACAATATGTTTTACCAAATTTTCAAATATCAGATGCTCTCTCTTTCTCCTTCCCTCCCTCCCTCCCTTATTCCATCCCTCTTGCTCTCTTTCTACCTCACTCTATTGCTCCTTTTCTCCCTTTCACAAACTATTCAAGATGGCAGAAATGGAAAGCCACCCAACTCAATTTTTAAGACTAATATGCACTTGAAAACAAGACTGGGCAAGGAAAATGCAAGAAAAGACAGCTAGAAATCAAATCACAATTACAAAAATAGATATAAAAATTTTATCTAAAATAACAAACTGAAGAGCAGAGTATAAAATAAACACATCTTGATCAAGTATAGTTTAGACTGGGAGTGCAAAAACACATTCAACATAACTAACCACTGACTTATACTAAGAAAAATAATTTTTGAGCAAATTAGGGAAGGGAGATCATATTTAATTTTTAAAAGTATATCTACCAAAACCTTGCATTCTGTTGGATCACCTTTCTTTGGAATGGGTACAAATATGGATCTCTTCCAGTCAGTTGGCCAGGTAGCTGTCTTCCAAATCTCTTGGCATAGGTGAATGAGTAAGAGCCTCCAACATTTGTTGAAACATCTCAGTGGGTATTCTATCAATTCCTGGGACCTTGTTGTTTTGCCAATTCCTTCAGTGCAGCCTCAACTTCTTTCTTCAATACCATTGGTTCTTGATCACATGTCACTTGGTGAAATAGATGAACATAGACCAGTTCTTCTTTATACAGTGACTCTGTGTATCCCTTCCATCTTCTTCTGATGCTTCCTGCATCATTAAATATTTTGAACATAGAATCCTTCCATATTGCAACTTGAGGCTTGAATGTTTTCTTCAGTTCTTTCAGCTTGAGAAATACCAAGTGTATTCTTCCATTTTGATTTTCTAACTCCAGATCTTTGCACATTTCATTATAATAATTGGCTTTGTCTTCTTGAGCTGTTCTTTGAAATTTTCTGTTTGGTTCTTTTATCTTGCCATTTCTTCTATTAGCTTTAGCTACACTCTCTGCAAGGGCAGGTTTCATAGTCTCTTCTGACATTCATTTTAGTCTTTTCTTCCTTTCTTGTCTTTTAAATTATCTTTTGCTTTCTTCATGGATGATGTTCTTGATGTCATCCCACAGTTCCTCTGGGTTTTGGTCATTGGTGTTCAATGCATCAAATCTATTCTTTAGATGGTTTCTAAATTTGAGTGGAATTAATCAAGGCCATGTTTTGGCTCTCATGGACTTCTTTTAATTGTCTTCAGCTTCAACTTGAACTTGCATATGAGCAGTTGATGGTCTGTTCCACAGTCAGCTCCTGGCCTTGTTTTGGCTGAAGATATTAAGCTTCTCCATTGTTTGTTTCCACAGATGTAATTGATCTGATTCCTGTGTACTTCATCTGGCAAAGTCCACATGTATAGCTGCCGATTATGCTGTAGAAAAAAAGGTATTTGCATTGAATAAGTAGTTGTTCTCGCAAAATTCTATCATATCATCTCTGGCATCATTTCTATCACCAAGGCCATGTTTTCCAACTACTGGTGATTCTCCTTTGTTTCCAAATTTGTGTTCCAATCATCAGTAATAATCAATGCATCTTGATTGCATGTTTAGTCAATTTCAGCTGCAGAAATTGGTAAAATCTTCAATTTCCTCGTCTTTGACTTTAGTTGTTGGTGCATAAATTTAAATAATAGTAGTATTAACTGGTCTTCCTTGTAGGCATATGGATATTATCCTATTACTGACAACATTGTACTTCAGGATAGATCTTGAAGCATTCTCTGTGATGATGAATGCCACACCTTTCCTCTTCAATTTGTCATTCTTGGCATAGTAGATCATATGATTGTCTGATTCAAAATGGCCAAAACCAGTCCATTTCAGCTCACTAATGCTATTATTGATATTTATGTGTTTTATTTCATTTTTCACAACTTCTAATTTTCCTACATTCATACTCCATATATTCCATGTTCCAATTATTATTGGATATTCTCAGCTGTTTCTTCTCATTTTGAGTTGTGCCCCATCAGCAAATGGAGGTTCTGAAAGGTTTACTATATCCACATCATTCAGGTCAACTCTACTTTGAGGAGGCAGCTCTTCCCCAGTTGTGTTTCGAGTGACTTCTAGGCTGAAGGGCCTATCTTCTGGCACTACATCAGACAGTGTTTCAGGGCTATCACAAAAGGGCAAATGTTGTATGAAAACACTATTGTAAAAAATCAAGAAAGTTCACACACAGAAAGAAACATTCTTTAATGCTTAAAAAGGGTGGTAGGGGGAGGGATGGTAAATTTAGTGAGGGTAAAACTAGAGGATAGACATGTATTAACTTGGGTGAAGGGAAGGGTAATATATAATAGGGAGAAGGTCAGCAAAAAATGATCAAGGCAAAAGAAGATGCTGGGAGGAGCCCAAGACAAAGGTAACCAAGTTAAATAGTATTACACCTACAATCCTGCAATAACAATAATAACAATAATCTATGAGTGGATACATAGATAGACACTCAAGCCGAACAGAGGCGGAAAGGTGTATGGTACTATACTCATGAATATATATAGCTTTAACAGAGAATATTTGTACATATGTATTTATATGTGCTGCAAATATATCCATGAATATAGTAGAGCATAAAGGGGCAAAGTTAGGAAAACTTATTAGCTATAACCAAGCAACATGAGGGAATTAGTTGCTGGTAATAGGGGATCAGGATCATAGTCTCAGAAAACATTAAGGTCAATTGGCATAACATAGTCCACAAAAACAATGTTCCATGTCTTCCTTTGGTGAGTAGTGACTAGGTTCTTAAAAGCTTGTGAGTGGCCATCTAAAGTATAACTACTGGTCTGTTCCCATCTGGAGTGAAGAGAAGTGAAGAAAATCCAAGATGCAAGGAAAAAATCAGTCAAAGGATGAATAGACAATATGAACCCCAACCTCCATTACCCTAAGACCGGAACTAGATGGTACCCAGCTACCATTGCTAACTGTTCTGAAAGGAACAGCAATAGGAGGTCCTGAATAGAGTAGAGGAAAATGTGGAATAAAACTCAAAACTATATATTAAAAAAAAAAAAGATCAGGCTTATTGGTCTGATAGAGATTAGGGGAACCCCCAAGAGATGGTTCTTAGACATCCTTCCAGCTTAAAACTAAACTCACCCCCAAAGCTCAACTATCAGTCAAACAATAAAACCAAGCCAAACCCACTGCCATCTAGTCAATCCCAACTTACAATGACCTTATAGGACAGAGTAGAACTGCCTCATAGGGTTTAGAAGGCTGTAAAGAAACAGACTGTCTCTTCTTTGTCATGTGAGTTCAACCACCAACCTTTTGGTTAATAGCTGATGCTTAACCACGAAGCCAACAGTGTGCCTTTAATCAAATGTGATAGGCCAATAAGGTGAAAATGTACCAGGGAAATATGCACTTCTTAGAAAAGTCAACCATATGAGATAAAAAGGTCAGCATTTGCCCAGGGATAAAGCTCAGAAGACAATGAGTGATAGGAAAGAAGAAATGGAATCAGCAAACATAGGGAGGAAGGGGGAGGAGTGCTGTTACATTGCAGTGAGTACCATCAATGTCACAAAACAAAATGTATATGAATTGTTGAATGGAAAGCCTATTTGCTCTGTAAACATTCACTTAAATCACAATAAAAATTAAAGAAAAGGCAAACAAAAAGAAAACTTTAAATAAGTAGGAATACTCTAACAAAATTGCTAATAACTGGTAAACCTGTGAAGTTTGAGATAGAGGTTGCCTACAGATGTAGGAGCATTTCAAGCTATGTAAAGACATCTAACCCAATAAATAATTTCTATTCTTTGGATGGTCTGGAAGAGTTAATATGATATGGACTCAGGATACTTTGTCACTTCCTATGAAAAACTAGGTCATTCTATCAAGTGCAACTTTTCTTTCTTCCTCTGGATTTGCATCACTTTTCTTATCTGTTTCTTTTGTAAATCTTCTCTCTTCTATGGCTATCAGCTGCCTCTTTGTATTTGTTTCTGCTTATGATACAGTGTGTCACTCTTACCTTGACTATTCATGACTATCCATTCAGTTCAGGGCTGGGGATAGGGCAGGCCCAATGGAGTAAATTTAAGGAGTTTACACAGGGGGGTTATGTGATCAGATGTTGTAGAACCAGGTCAAAGAACTGTGGTCCATTGACCACATTAGTATCACCTGGAGCTTGTTAGAAATCAAAATTGTATTCTTCTCCTTACAAAATCAGCATCTATATTTTAACAAGATTGCCCAGTTATTTGTATGCACATTAAAGTTTCATTAGTACTGAATTTAGAAGGCTCCTTTTGGTCGGATGATGAAAGATAGGTTTGGGAAGCAAGAGCCTGAAGGCAAAAGTTACTCTATTGAATCTTTTGTGACATTCAGAGTAAAAACTGATATATATATATATATAAAAGCTCTGGTAGCTTAGTGCCTAAGGCACTTGACTGCTAATCAGAAGGCTAACGGTTCAAACCCACCAGCCACTCCTTGGAAGGAAGATGGGGCAATCTACTTCTGTAGTGATACTGCCTCGGAAACTCAAGGAGGGGTCGCTATGCATCAGGTCTGACTTGACAGCACATAACAACAACAACAACATATAGCATGAAGTAAAAGGGGAGCTCTGGTGGCATAGTGACTAAGACATTTGACTGCTGACCACAAGACTGGTGGTTCAAACCCACCGGCCACTCCTCAGAAGGAAGGTAGGGCCATCTACTTCCAGAGTGATACAGCCTCAGAAACTCAAGGAGGGGTCGCTATAAGTCGGACCCGACTCCATGGCAGTGGTTGCGTTTTGTTTTGTTATGAAGTAAAAGTATAAATTATTGAACAGTAGAAAAAATTTCCTTAACTTTTCTGAAAGTTCATCAGGTGAAGATGAAATTGGATCAGTTAGAGATTTACTATGACCTATCTCTGAGTCCCAACAGGCAGGAATGACAACAGAGGGTATTATGTTATTTATTTCAAGAAAAAAATTAAACTCCCTCAGTTTATCAGTTCAGGAAGTAGACTCACTAGGACTACAATTTTAAAGTACGACTTTCCCAAACAGTGCCTAAAATTACTTGGTCTTTTCAAATTCCAAGAAGTCAATTGTTAATCAAAGATACCCAAGAATAGTACTTTTAGAAATTTTATTGCCTATTCTGATCTGGTATTCTTGTTAATTGGTCCCTTTTCTCTTCTTTCTAGTCATGGGCCAGAAAACTTCTTTTATAGTTTACCTTCTTCCTAAATCATTGTAATACATTTTTTTGAGTCCATTTAGATTCTTCCAAATTTTAAAATTGAATCATAGGGCTACTGAAAAATATACCTCCTCTATAAAGAGATTTCCCCCATACTTTTAGCTCAAAATACCATCAACATCTCACCATTTCTCCTCCAGGAAAGCCTCTAACTCTGATTGGGATCTATACTGTATAAATTATACCACAATGAACTCTTTGAGCAGGGCTATCTTCCCCTACTGTAACCTAAAATCCCACTAAGCCCACGACTGTCCAGTTGATTCCAATTCCTTGTGACCCTGCAGGACAGAGTAGAACTGCCCCATAGGGTTTTCAAGGCCATAAATCTTTACAGAAGCAGACTGCCTCATTCTTCACCCACAGAACGGCTGGTGAGTTCAAATAGCTGACCTTTCTGTTGTCAGCCAAGGCCTTACCCACTGTGCCACCAGGGCTCCTTACTGTAACATAAGGTCATGGCAAATTCTGTCTAAACAAGAGTTTCCAAAGAGATTTCTCAGCAAAGAACAGTCAGGAAGTTGTTTAGTCATGCCTAGGAGACCTTGAGCTTAAAAATATTGTCGGGCATCCACAATACCTACCAATTTCAAAACTACCATCAATAACTCCCACCAGTGAGGAAGGGATATCAAACCTTCTCTCTATCTGAGTGATGGTGCTCTTCAGGTAGCCTTCTGTCAATGCTTTGGCAAAGTAAACGAAAGACAATGCACCAAGGAATACCTGGAAAAGAAGACAGGTCACACTTAGAATTAATCCAATATGACATACAGTTGTGGTCTTACTAAACAAAATGCCTACACAATTTCTGTGAAAGCTAAAAATAAAGATGAGCTTACTTGTGGCCAGTCTGAAAGAGCATGGCTGCTACTTGGTTTCACAAAATAAAAGTTGAAGATAATAAGTAATCTAACTTTTAGAAATAGTAATTACCTTGTTTCTCTAGAGTTATGTATAATCAACTGGTCCCTGCTCTCTAACTCCTGCAGTCCAGACAGGCAGACGCCTGGCTATCTGAGAGTCACTCAGCAGGGATTGACTACATCAGACATGCGACATTTGTCTTCTTAAGCAAGCTAACATTTGAAGGAAGAAAGGATTTTGAAGGACATTTTAATGAACCTCCGAAAAACAGTCCAAAACCACCCAGACTTCTCAGACTCTTTTGTTCCCTTCTGACTATATAAACCTCAACCCTGCCACATTTCTTTGGAAAATGAAGTTTAGGTGTGTGTTCCTCAATCCTTGAATCATTGATAGAATAATAAATCTCTAGTGTTGTATTTAACTGTGTTTCCATTCTCAGAAATTCTTTGACAAGACAAACTTAGAAAAACAAAATGGTGTAAAGCTTGCTATCATTGAAGATTAAATCCAAGCACTGATGTAGGTTTCCCCCCAGCCTGAAGTCCATGTAGATTTCTAAAATGTTCAAACTGTCTTGGGAAGAACATCTTTTCAAAATGTGTATTGAACTTTTCAATTTTTACTTTCTGGTCTCACCCTTAGTCCCCAAAAGAGAAATTTGAAGGATTCTTGCTTTGAAAAGAAGATTCAGTGAATGGTGAAGCAAAGAAAAGGATCCATTCACAGATAAGAAAATAAAACAAATGAATACCACAGTAGGAGATCCTGGATAGAGTGGGAGAAAAATGTGGAACAAATCTCAGAATAATAAAACAAAGACCAGGCTTACTAGTGTGATAGAGACTGGTGGACTGCCTGAGACTATGGCCTTTAGTTATCCTTCAAGCCTGGAACTAAAGATACCCTCACCCTCACCCCGTCACCCCCCACTCAACTTTCAGACAAACTAAAGACAAGTCTGTGCTATGGATTGAGCAATAACACCAGGGAGGTACACACTCCTTAGAACAATTAACTATATGAGATCCAAAGGATAGCATTTGTCCAGGTATAAAGCTCAAAAGACAGGAATGGATAGGAAAGAAGAACAAATGGAAATGGTAATGACAGAGAGAAAGTGAAAAGAGTGCTATTACATTGTGGGGACTACATTAAATATCATGAAACAAAACATGTATGAACAGTTGAATGGAAAAACAATTTTCTCTATAAACGTTAAAATCACAATAAATAAGGGTAAAAAACAAAACAAAACAATGAGCCAAGCACTTAGCATCTCATAACAAGTCCAGCACTCATGGTTACGTGTTTCACAATAATGATAGGTGCACCATAGCATAATAGACTGAAAAAGTAGAACTACTGTTAGATTGTAAAAGTACAATTATTATTCTTCATGCTTATGTTCATGCTCAAATTCATATTCAAATTCTTATCTAATGCAAAACACTTCCTTGATACTTAGCTCATGTATTTTGCTAGACCGGGATGTTTGATGAAGTATCTATAGGGCAGGCTAGCATTTGTGTGAGTCATATAAAACACCAATTAAATGCAGCTGTAGTCAGCATAAGGGAGCTCTGGTAGCATAGTGCCTAAGGCACTGGACTGCTAACCAGAGGGCTGGCGGTTCAAACCCACCAGCAACTCCTTGGAAGGAAGATGGGGCAATCTACTCCTGTAGTGATACTGCTTCAGAAACCCAAGGAGGGGTTGCTATGAGTCAGGTCTGACTCAAAGGCAAATAACAACAATAGTCAGCATAAAATAATTAAGGCAAAGGAAGACACTGGGAGAGGCACAAGAGTTAAAGATAACAGAGGTAAATACTATTACATATACAATCCTGCAATAACAGCAATAACAATAATCCATGAGTGGATACATAGATAGGCACTTATGCTGAATAGGGGTGGAAAGGCGAACTAGACTAAGCCCATGAATATATATAGGTTTGACAGAGGATATTTTTACATATGTATTTGGAAGGAAGTTTGGGCAATCTACTTCTGCAGAGATACTGCCTTGGAAACCCAAAGAGGGGTTGCTGTAAGTTGGATCGGGCTCAACAGTAGTGAGCTTTTTTTTTTTTTTTTTTTTTTACATATAAAAATGTAGTACAATGGTTAAGTACTTGGCTGTTAAGCAAAAGCTCTATGATTTAAACCTATGAGCCACTCAGTGAGAGAAAGATATGGTAGGCTGCTTCCATAAAGATTTAAAGGCTTAGAAACACAGTGGAGCAGTTCTGCTCTGAACAGAGTCACTATAAGTTGGAGTTGACTTGACAGCAACAAGTATTTACATATGCAGCAAACATATCCATGAACATGTTAGAGCACAGAGAGGGCAAAGTTATGAAAACTACTTAGCCATACCAAACACCCTGACAGAATGTGTTGCTGAGCCTAAGGGTGCAAGACCATAGTCTTGGGAAGCATCAAGGTCCATTGGCACAGAATAGTTCACAAAGACTTGAAGTCAAAGACAATTAAAACAAGTCCACAAGAGCCAAAATATGACCTTGAATATATCCCTCCTGAATTTAAAGACCATCTAAAGAATAGATTTGATGCATTGAACACCAATTATTGGAAACCAGAAGAATTATGGGATGACTTCAAGAAC